AACTGCTCGGTGGGGCTGGGGCGGGGGAGCCAGCCAAGGTGAGGTGCTGTAGTCGTTCTGGTCTCTGGTTGTTCTGGTCGTTCCACCATTTCAGTCACTGGGCTTTTATTATATAGGATAGGAACTCACTTGAGTGCTATAATCATCATCATCATCATCCCCAACTTACAGATGAGAAAATTAGGTTGTAAAGCAGGCAGTTAAAGTATGTGTAGAGCTGGGATATGAACCCAGGTAGCTCGGAAACGGAGCCCCATATGTTCAACTGCCCACCTTGTCCCTTGTCATCTTGCCTGAAAGATCAGCTTCAATCTGAATTCAACATATGGCAGTCAATTCCAGACTTAGCCAATTACAGAGATATTGAATAAATGAAAACCTCAGGCAGTATTATAAAATCAAGGATTAGCCCGAACCGGTTTGACTCAGTGGATAGAGCGTCGGCCTGCGGACTGAAAAGTCCCAGGTTTGATTCCGGTCAAGGGCATGTACCTTGGTTGTGGGCATATCCCCAGTGGGAGGTGTGCCGGAGGCAGCTGATCAATGTTTCTCTGTCATCGATGTTTCTAACTCTCTATCCCTCTCTGTAAAAAAAATTGATAAAATATATTTAAAAATCAAATCAAATCAAGGATTATTTCCCTGCACTATCTCCTGCAGGATTACAGAGATGATTCACACCATGCATATTACTAGTTATGGAAAGAGCATTGCTCACTTACTGAGTCTACATAACATCTAATGCCATCAGTACATGGAAAAGTCACTGTTGGAATATTCAGTGGTTCCTTCAGACAAATCCCAGCTCAGAAAGGTGACTCCTGCATCAATAAAAGTCACAGATTCTCCAAATCAGCAAATCATCTGGAAGTCCTGTGTACCAAATTTGCATGAAGCAACTGGGCTTTGGTTGTCTCTCTGTGGCTGGTATGAGCAGTTCCCATTTGGGGATCCACTCTGCACATAATCTCTTGGCATCCTTCTCTGAAACCTTCTCAGATTTCTGCTGCACCCCACCTCCTAAGGCTTGTTCAACCCACACACCCACCCAGATGAGCCCCTGTCCATGCAGCCCCCTCACCTTGCTCTGTGCCCTTCCCCCCAGTGACTAGTGTTAACAGAGCTGGCTGGGGAGCACTGTCTGTCATCCAACCTGCCAGCTGCTCCTTTCTGTCAGTCCGCACACCTGAGTCAAGCTCCCTCTGTGTCAGGCTCTGTGCTAGGGATGAGGACACAGAAAGGGGGCTGATATCCTCAGCCTCAAGAAGCTCACAGGGCAGGGGCGTGGAGAATAGGAGCTGGCAGGTAAAGAGATTCTCATAATTGGTGAGCCGCAGATGCCAGTGCTCCTTCCGTGGGACCATCCTGGAAGCTTTCTTGCTCAGATGTGCCAGTAACTTGCCAGGGTTATAGCACTGTACTCACCAGTCTGAAAAACCCATGGTCTCAGGCCAACCAAGCTTGTTGGACCCCTACACCCGATTTTATCCCTTTTCCTGGTTCCTGATAGCTTCTCTAAATTCCTGTCTATCGTCCCCACATGCTGTGAACCCCCACAGGCAGGGATCCATGAGACGATGCCTGTGTTCCTAGGCAAGTTCAGGGCCAGGCAGACAGGATGGAATTGAGTGGACATGGGCAGGGAAGCATGGAGAAATTCTGTCCTGTGAGCCTGGAGCAGGGAGATTCAGAAAGGAGCAGCCCTTGTCCTCAAAGGGCTGGCTGGCATAATAGTTTGTAGTCCTACCGAAGGAAGGAGGATCTGACAGACTGAGAACACCAGCACATGGGATGAGGAGCCACGATCTGAGGGGTAATCTGGGTTTTGCCCCCATGGCCATGTGCTTCTCACAACAAGGCTTTGTCCTATAGACGTGCTGACCATGACCTCGCTCAGAGAGCCTCTGCCCTCCTTGCCCTCCCTCTCCCCTGTCCTGTTCCCATTTACCTCCTGGTTGTGCCCGAACAGCCAGTGGGAAGGAGGGGACGGGAATTCCTGGACAGCTTTGAGCAGCCACTGCCTGAGCAGGTAGAGCTGGGCTGCCTTGAGCAGCAGCAGAACCAGAGCCAGCAGGGAAGCCACCTGCAGGAGCCCAGAGATACTGCCCAGGAGTCTTGTGGGGCTCAGCACAGAGACACTCATGGTGCAGTGCGTCTGGACCTCTGACTGTCTCTGACCACCTCAGGCCAGTCTGGAAGTTTTGCCCCACCCACCTGTGGGGAGGGTGAAGGGTGAGGGCAGAGCTTAGAGCTGAGCCACCAGAGTTGATTAACTGTGGAGGAGCTATCTTGGGACCAGGAAGAAAAGCTTTTTTAGTTGACAGTGACAATGGTTGTGTACATTTCAACTTCCACTTCTCAGTTTCCTAACAAACACTTAATGAGCACCTGTTATGTGCCAGCCAGTATGCTAGGTGCCAGGACACAGCTGCGAGCAAAATAGACATGAACCCGGAGTTCCAGAAATCTCAGTCTAGTTCATCAAATGTTCAGTAGGTGTGGTTACAGAATTTTATTATCCTTTCCATTTCAGATATAAGCTAGTTACAGATAGGTAAAGTAAAGTGGCCAATGGAAAGCAGATTGAGTTGGGCTTAGAATCCTTCTCCCTTGTATCCAGAACTGCCTGCCTACCTGCCTCTGAAGTTTTCCCCAGGGTTTTTTCTTGTCCCATGTTCCATTGTGACCCAAGGGGAATGTGCTGGTGGACAGAGTACTGAATTTGGACTCACAACGTTCAGCCCCAGGTCAGGCCCACCTCATATGAAGTCAGCAACTGACTCTCTCTGTGCCTCAGTTTCTCCTTTTGTAGGTAGAATCATCATCTTCTTTCTAAGAGCGGCATAGAAATGCTCATTCATTCACGCATTCATTCACTCAGCATATGTTTCTTGAGTGCACAATTTAGTAGGTTAAGTCAGAAAACACTCAGTACAATGAAATATGAAAAGCCTTTTCTTAAACATCAGGGAGGGGAAAGAAAGATGTGAGTTGTTTTAAAGAGTTTACATTGGCTTCAGTTAAAGGGGTAGGGGGAGCTGAAGCGGAGCTAGCTCTGGGATAGGTGCAGAGTTCATCAGGAAGAAATGCTTGCTCCTTTGGATGGTGTGGGCAACAGTCTGGAAAGTTCATGACTAAGCAAGAAGCATAGGTTCCTAGGGCTCCATTGCACCTAGCTGTTCTCTTTAGGTAATTGGAGAAATAGCCCCCTGAAAGTTAACTCAAAGTTTTAATGCACACTCAGGAAGGTAAGTAGTCTTTGTTGGTTTGCCCTGCAATTGCTAAAGAATTAACCTCTCTTTTCTCATCCTTTCACCCTCTGGATGCCTGTAATTAGTTTAGGACAACTCAGATTTTTTTCCTTTTTAGTAGAAACCATAAGACTTCAGATCTGAAAGGTAAGGAAGGGCATTATAGGAAAACTGGAGGGGACCAAACAAGGCAGACAGGCCCTCGAGGCAGCTGTGGTTCTGAGCTTGGGCTGCATCCGTTCCTGATCATTGTCAGCTGGAAGTTTGTCTCAAGTGGCCCTCTATGTGCCTGCCATCCCAATTGGCCATGTCCTGATAGTCACTGTGGGTCAGGAAAGCAGACTCAGTGTCCCAGCAGCAGAACACCCAAAGCACTAGGATGGTGAATCTGCCAGAAATATAGGCTCCATCCTCAGTGCCAGAGAAAACACAGAAGTCTGTGGTCTTCCTACAATTTGTGGGGTTTTAGTTATTCCATGACCAGGACAGGCAAAAATTAGTGGTGCCAAATCCAACTCAGGGTAGGTAGAAAATTACCTTTCAGATCTGGGGAAATTTATATAATGGATCATCTCAATATGGTTGAGAGAGAGAGAGAGAGAGAGAGAGAGAGAGAGAGAGAGAGAGAGAAGGAAGGAAGAAAAAGAGGGAACAGGGAGAGAAAGAAATAGCAGAAGGAAGGAAGAGGCAAGTAGAGAGAGGGGGGAGAGAGAAGGGAGGGAGAAAGGATGGAACAAAGGAAGTTAGAAAGAAAAGAAAAAAGAAATTGGGCCCCACATAGCTTTATAAGCATTGAGTTTATGTAAATACTAGAAGCCTGGTGCATAAAATCTTGCACTGGTGGGGTCCCTCTGGGTGGCCTGCAGGGATCGGGTCCAAACGCAGTCTAACGCTGCCTGCGGCTCCTACATGACTGTCCTGCTCATCTTGGCCCCACTGTGCCTGCTGCGGGCTCCTGCCCAATCAATCCCAATCCAGAGAGGCTCTCTCTGCCACAGCAGTGCTCACCAGCCATGAGCTTTGGTGTCTGGAGCCCTCCCAAAGGGAGTGGCCTGCGGTATTGGGCTGAAACCAGTTCTCTGTCATCCCCCGAATGGTCCCTGATTGGGAGACAGTGCAGGCCAGGCGGAGGGACCCCACTGGTGCATGATTGGACTGGGGAGGGACCACATGTTGGCTCCAGGGTGTGTCTGGCCCATCACATTCAGTCCAGATTGGCCGGACCCCAGCAGCAAGCTAACCTACTGGTCAGAGCATCTGCCCCCTGGTGGTCAGTGCACATCATAGCGACTGGTCAATAGGTTGACTGCCCCCTGGTGGTCAGTGCACATCATAGTGAGTGGTTGAGCAGCCTTAGCATATTATGCTTTGATTGGTTGTTCAGTTATTCTGCTGTTCAGTCTATTTGCATATTACCCTTTTATTATATAGGATTATTGGCTGTAGGCTGGTTTGTGAGCTAGGAGTGAGGTTGGCAAAGGGTTTAAGTAATGGTGGCTGAGCTAAGTCCCCTCTTGAATTTCACAACCCAAGGGCATGTACCCAAGAGAAAAGAGCTGATTCCCATTTGGCTCTCACTGATTTTCCCAAGATCACCTTCATGTAGTCAGGGCTCAATCTGAAATTGCTCCCCATAGCCAATGAGGACAGGCACATGGGAATGTCTCTACCCTTTTCTGAAGCTGTTCTAGCTCCTGGTCCTTTTGGATCAGGAGCTACAAGGGAAAGAAAATCAATAGAACCTTTCTCTTTAGGTCCAGCTCTTGGAGTGGTGGTGAAGGGTCAGTTGGCCACGGTTTGGAGTTGTTTCTGATGAACCTGGCTCTGATCTGGATTCCTGCTCTCTTGCCAAGGCTTGGTCTAAGGAGGGAAGGAAAAGCAAAGGCAAAGGTATTTTAGGGAATGGTGACAAGTTCAGTGTAGATGAAGAGTAAAATGACAGGTGAGCAGTGGGAGACAAAGATGAAAGTAAGGGAAGGGGCGTAATGTCTGATGAGCCATGCGTTCCATAATGAGCAAGAGGACATTACATAGACAGTGCCTACTTAACACTCATGGTGGTTCTGAAGCAAGGTATTGACATTATCCCACAGGCCATTGAGTGAAAGGCATTTTGCTGTCAGAGTGACTAGCTGGAAGGTCTGACCTATAACCCTGGCAGCAGCATGACTTGAGAGGAGGGATCAGATTGGAAATAGTTTTCAAAGGTAGAGTCAGGAGTTTGTTAGTCAGAACAGGAAGAGGAAGGACCTGTCAACACTTCAGAAAAGTCACCAGTAACCCCTCAGGGTACATAGTGCCAGTTAACCCCATGGGGCACCACTCGGCTCATTAAAAAGTCTGAGGCAGACCCTGTGTAGAGCCTAAGTTTCCTCAAAAATCCCAAGTACACATAGGAAGCAGCCGTACTGGGCTGGGAGGGGGAGAACAAATACTTTCTGAGCCCTGAAAATAAAGAGAATTGACTTAGGGGCTTCCACCCTGAATTTTAAAATATGGACTAATGATAGGCTTTTGGATTAGGAGTGGGTTATCTGTTCCACCCTGGAATCTGGGAGATTTGGGTCTTTCCTTATCATTACACCCTAAGGTTCTTCTCTGGGTCTTGATCCACACCTTGACCATGACTTCCTCATCTGGGCCCAGATATTGGTATCCTTTGTATCTCCTCAGGTGGGTCTCTCTGACTTATGTAACTTAGCCCCTATTTCAGACATTGAATTTTTTTCTGACTTCTCAGCTCAGTCCCTTTCAGACTGGCTAGTCATCTGATCTCCACTCTCTCCTTCCCTACATCCTCCTTCCTTGGCAGCTCCTGCGTGCCCTCCAACCAGTTCTCAGAGAATCCTGGCCAGAAAGGGATGGCACTAATGTGAAACAATACTGTTGACTTTAACAAACAGAAAGCCAGATATTTCTCCTGCCAAGTGGTTTTATTCAGGAACAACGAAGAATCACAAGTTTGGATATGCAGTCTAATGGTTAGCCATGTGCAAGTTTTAAGTAATTAGGAAAGGAAAATCTGTTATAGAGGAGAAAAGGAAGTTGGGAGAGCCATTATTAACTGAGTTCTTCCTGTTGTGTTCCTTGATCCATGTACTGCATAGAACTCCCCCTTCTGAACTTCTGCCCTCATTTTATCTTTATTTTTTTTTTTTTTTTTTTAATATATTTTTTTATTGATTAAGATATTACATATGTGTCCTTATACCCACGTTACCCCCTACCCCCCCCCCGCTCATGCCCCGCCCCCCGCTGTCCGTGTCCATTGGCTAGACCTACATGCTTGCATGTAAGTCCTTTGGTTGATCTTTCCCCCTTACCCCCACCCTCCCCTACCTTCCCTCCAAGGCCCGACAGTCCAATCAATGCCTCTCCATCTCTGGATCAGTCCTTGTTCATCAGTTTATGATGTTCATTATATTCCACAAATGAGTGAGATCATGTGGTATTTATCCTTCTCTGACTGGCTTATTTCACTTAGCCTAATGCTCTCTAGTTCCATCCATGGTGTGGCAAATGGTAAGAGTTCCTTTTTCTTCTTCCTCTTCTTAAAGAATACCTTTCAGCATTTCATATAATGCTGGTTTGGTGGTGATGAACTCCTTTAGCTTTTTCTTATCTGTGAAGCTCTTTATCTGACCTTCAATTCTGAATGATAGCTTTGCTGGATAAAGTAATCTTGGTTGTAGGTTCTTGCTATTCATCACTTTGAATATTTCTTGCCACTGTCTTCCGGCCTGCATGGTTTCTGTTGAGAAATCAGCTGACAGTCGTATGGGT